TCCCTTGACTGCATCATTCTAAAGTGATGCTGGTTTTGTTTTCTTGTCTGTGAGGGGTGGTGGTGAAGAATGCCTGCTTAGCAGTTGGGTGTCCCGGCCTCCATTCCTGCTGAGTTTACCTCCATGCACATGTGAGCACAGTGACAAAGCAAGGATGTCCTTAATCCTACGAAAAATAAATTGGACCTCATAGATCCCATGGAAGGGCCTTAGAAACCTCAAGGGTTCCACAGAACACACTGTGAGAATGGTTGTTCTGAGTAAACCAGGGGGAGTCTCCCTACTGGCCCCGGCCTTGTGTCCCTCCTCACTTCCTAGAACCCCTCTCCCTGAGGTGGGATCCCTGCCTCCCCACCCTCTGCTGAAAGCATTGCCCCTGAGTTGTACTAAGAGAAAGGTCACCCCTTGGAAATGAGATTTCCGAGAGTGTCTTCAGTCTGGGAAAGGAGATGGGGAGACAGGTGTTTCCTGTTTGAACTGAATACAGTTTGTGCTTGAAGGCACCAGGCCCACAGGTAACCTAGTTTGGTTTGTTATACAGCAGCTTGATATGTACTCATGTCCCAGACAGAAATGTGGTGTCGTCTGTCAGAGAGATATTGGCCCCTTCATTTTTCACGGGTCTAGTGCTGTGACTGGAAACCCAGACAATATGAAGAGCAGTTCTGTCCAATAGAACATTCTGGAACAAGGGATTTTTCTGTGTCAGCATGTCCAAAATGGCAGCCACTGGCTGCAGGTGGCTGGTATTTTTGTGAGTGCTCTCTGCCTTGTGTTTGTCTGTGTTTAGACAAAATGCAGTGTGGTGTCATTTTCTCTCAGTTTGCCATGGTCTCGGGATGTCCTTGTCTGATGCTGATGTTCTGTGAGACCACGTGTGTCCAACTGGAGAGTAACCCGGCCCAGCAGTGAGCAAAAGGCCAGCTCCTGGCAACACGGGGGCCTCACCCTAAGCGCCACATCGGTTCCGATGTTGGGGCTGCTTTTCCTTTTTTCTTAAATTCAGTATCAGCTGCTGCTGCCCACCGCTCCCCTGGCTGATAATCTCAAGGACAGAAAGAAGTTCCTATCTGACATGGGGATGTGGGTGCGCTCTAGAGCGAGCTGCCCCAGATCTTGGTCTGGAGGGTTTTTAACTCTCTTCTCAGGGCGAGAAATTTAGGGGAGGGTTCCAGCAGAATATTCATCAGCTTTCAGGGTGTTTTTAATAAGCTGATGCATCAAAACGGGCACATGGGGTGTTGGGGATTATCCTCTGGTCAGCTCCACTGTTTCTTTTTTCTTAGGTCTGTCTGGTTCTAATGTTGTTGTTGTTGTTTCTTATTTGATACCCTGACTTCATCTGTCATGGGTTCATCTGGTAAAGTGGCAGTAATTGGGTCTCTCTTATTTATTCCCCCCCAGAATAAAGTTGATTTTAGCTATGTATTCTTTGCTTAGGGAGGACAAGTACAATGAAAACTTAAGGGCAGCAAATATGGGCCTGGAGACTAGAAGATGTGGTTGCCATGCCTTCCAATTACTGAAGAAAAATTATTTCCAACACAGAGTTCTATATCCAGTCAAGATGTGAATAAGGGCTAGGATAGCCTACAGTTTCCTCATGTGTTTAGGGCTTTAATAGTTACCTCTTCTCATTCTATTTGGAAAATTCTACCAGATATATTGGGGAAAATGAGGAAGTAAACCAAAAGGGAGGAACGTGTGGGGTCCAGGTGACAGGGGAGCTAGAACAAGACAGGCCTGGGCTGCCCAAAATGAAGGGAAGGACATCCAGGGTGTCTGCCTGCCTCCTGGTGTGCAGGGACCCTGTCACCCTGTGGCAGGGCCGAGGGCTGTGGACAGGTGTCTGCAGAGAGGAAAGTGGTTGGATATCTGACGTGTTCAAATACGTACTCATGAAGATTGAGACTCTGCGGAGAGCAGTGGCACAAACTTGTGAAACCTGACAGAACAGCCCCATGGCTGAATTAGGACCAGATGCAATGACCAACCACCCCCTACCCTAGTGCTGACCAATCAGTGGAGACCTTTGCAATATGTCCCATAGGCCCCTATGCAGCCCATCCCCTAGAAGCCATCAGGGAGCCAGGTCTCAGAGCAACAACTCACCTGTGACTTGGGTTTGGTGCCACTTCCTTAAATAAACCTTTATTTGCTTTTTATTTCTTTTTCTTTTATATACTCACCCAAGGACATTATCTTTTCATTGCTTACAGAGAGAGAGGAAAGAAGAGAGAACAACATTGATGTGAGAGACAAATATTGATTGATTTTCTTCCATTGGTACCAGGACTGGGAATCTTATGCACAGTCGAGGTTGTGCCCTGACCAGGAATCTACTTGCAACCTTTCAATTATGGGACGATGCTCCAACCAACTGACCCACACCAGCCATAGTAAACCTACACTTTCCTTGTTGCAGACTCCTGTTTGCATTGGATTGGGTTTTAATGTGCACAGGTGAATGGACCTATTCAGTTTAGTAATACTTTGTAATTTATAGCTTTTTAATGTTTTATAGAGAATATACATTCATCATATAAATAGCATATTATCTATATACACATAATTAATTTAAAAGCTTTGTTACAAGTATAGAAGGGAAGGCAGATGAGAAAGAAAATCAAGAGCTCAGCTCAGGGCAGACAGTGCTGGGCTCCATGTCTGGGCTCTGGGCAATGAACTTGCACACCTTCCCCCACTCCCCACTCAGAGCACTGCTCTCTGTGGAGGCCAAGCTGGGTCTTTCCTTTCTTCTGGGGTGTGGTCATTAGTATCTCCTCAACTCTCTGTTGCTTTTAATAAGTTGGTTTTTGTACTATATATGGAATTTTGAGCTCATTTCAGTGGGAGGATTTGTCCGTAGAGTCCAGGCAAGTTTGTCAGGAATGGAATTTCTAAGGCAAGTGGTTGGTCCTAGAGAAGAGGATCAGAGTGTGAATCTTAAATTGTGATGTGAGGATGGTCTGTCAGGAGTTTTATAAGTGTAGGGATTTTATGTAACTTGTTTTTTGAAAAACATTACTTATGCACATACAAGAGGTTTCAAAAGACACTCAGGAATACACAAAATAAATGAGTCACATTGTCCTCCTCCCCCTCAGTCACCTAAGTCCTCTCCCAGGAAACCTTCATAGGGAGTCACTTCTGATTCCTCCTCCCAGGAAAATCTATCTGTGCATTAGTGTTGCTGTTATGTCTGTAAAAAGAACTCAGGCCACAGACTGGGAGAAAATGTTTGCAATCCAATTCTTTCAGAGTATATATAAGAAGACTCAACTCAACAATAAAAAAAATAACTCAACAAAAATTAATCAAAATTCTAATCAGACACCCCACCAAAGGATTTATGCCTGCCTCGTCCAGGTGGTTCAGTTGGTTAGAGGGTCATCACGAGAACCAAAATGTTGTGGGTTTGATCCCTGGTCAGAGTGCATATGGGAGGTAACTGATCAATGACTCTCTCTTTCTCTCTCTCACACAAACACACACACTCTTAAATCAATTAACATAGCCTTTGGTGACAATTTTTCTAAGGCTGCAGTAGAACAGTAGCTTTGTTATGGCTGCAGCAGCCTCATATGTGTATTTACTGGGTCTCTTGAGGGCATCATTTTCTCCTGTGTTAACTGAATTTCCTGCTGTTTCATACAGTAATGTGCTGTGCAGGCTTGCAGCCTAGAAGTAACAGGCTGAGCATTGCAACCATAATCAGGACAATCTCAGAGTATCTCCCCGTAAATTACTAATGGATGACAATCACCAAATGGTGACTGTGTGATGGGGAGACCTGTCCCTCACCAACCTGGGTGGGTCACCAGGATGAATGTCCCCACTGTCAGGACAGGTGGGTGCAGTGTCTGGTCCTTGTTCTTTCCTCTTCCACAGTCCTGACTCCCTTGGTGGCCTCATCCACGCTCACGGCTTTAATGTCATCATCGCGTCCACACCTATGTCTGCAGCCCAGACATTTCTCCTCAAGGTCCCCACACTCATCTGTCCAACCTGACAGCTCACTGGTGTGTCTATCAGATATCTCACCTTGACCTTCTCTTCAGCTGACAGCTTGAAATGCACACCCCTCCCCCACACATACTTCTGCCACAGTCTCCCCCCTCTCTGCTGATGTAACCCCATCTTTCTGCTGGCACAGTGCACATGTGGGGGTGTTCACCTTGACTCCTTTCCCACACCCCAGATTGAATCACTAGGAAATGTTGTGAAATCATCTTCCACATGCATTCAGTGTCCAGTCCCTTCCCAGTGTTTCCACCACTCACAGCCCCGTCAGAACACCCAGCATCTGCAGCTTGGAACCATGGGAGCTTCCCCACACCTTTCCCTCCTGCCTTGCTGGTCCCTTGTCTCCTGATTCTGTTCTCAGTTCAGCAGCCAGACTGATCCTGTGGCCTGAGGGCTCTCCCTTGAGGAGGAACTCTCAGAGGAAGCCACTAAGGAATTTGGCTTCTTGGCCATGACCTTCCCGGACTCAGCATCCACAGAATGAGGGCAGTGTCTGCAGTGGATTAAGGACAGTGGACGCTGGAACAACTCCTGCTTTAAGCAGCTGTTCTCATTTTCACATTGGTCAGCTCTCTGACTGTACACAGATACCCCTGAGGTCTACAAGAGGGGGTCCTGGAAGCTTGGGGAGACTCCTAGGCACCAAAGCGGCACTCAGTTAGGATCAAGGGACTCAACCAGCCAGAGGCAGAGGCTCCAAAGGGTCACATTCGGATGTGTGGGAAGAAACCCTTACTTACACTTGGAACACAGCGGTCACAGGGAACATCACTGGGGAGCCGTGTGGTCCCCTTGTCCCGTGGCAGACAGTCTGCCCCTCCTGGGTTGTCTGCACACCTCATGGTAAGTTTGTGAAGGTAAAGTGACTTAGAACAGCTTAACCAATGGGGTAAGATGGAGATAGAATAACACCTACCAGAAACAATACACCTTGGAGCTCTTAATCCCAGTCTCTTCTGTTTAGAGTCTGTATATAAATATATAGCTAATTTTAATGTGATGTAAACAAGTTCAGATACCGGGTGAAGAAACAGCAGTCAGGGATTCATAATCTCAAAGTGAGGCAGCAGTGACTGTTTCAGCAGCAGGTTCCGTAGAAAGCAGCTCTGTCACAGTGGGAAAGAAAGTTGTTATGAGGAAGTTCAGGTCAGACTGAGAAGTGTCACATTCCCCCAGAGCCCACCCCATCCTCAGCATGTCCCCGTCTGAGAGTCCCCAAACTCTCAGTCCCAATGCCCCCCACTTCCTGCCCTCAGGGTCTCACCATCAGGAGCCGTGAGAGACACATCAGAGCTCTGGGCACTGTGGCTGCCTGGGGAAGACAACAGCAGAGTTATGTGGTGGGAGAGCCCCCCACTGACTCCAGCCCACACTCTCCCAAGGGTCCCAGATGTCACCTCCCCAACACCCAGACTTACAGGCAGCCTGAGTGTATCTCTTCCTGCCTCTGCCTGTGGGAAGAAAATGTTCTGTGAGAAGTCAGGGGGAAGGCTGGGACCCATGACTCTGAAGGAGCTCCACACTCCTGAAGCACAGGGAAGGTTCCAGAACTGTGACTGAACACCCAGGGTAGGATCAGGAAATACAGGGAATGTACATGTGTGGGGAGTAGATCAACCGCCAGTGTGGATGTCTGTCCTTAGCAGGCACCTCCCCTTCTGACCTGTGACAGCTGGGAATCAGTCCCCATTACTAGAACCATCAGGTGATAAATGTGTCCCTCACTTTCCCACGGGCCTCACTAAAGAGACAGTGTTAGGAAATAGGACTCAGATGGACAAGCACCCGTGTGGGGACACCATGCCCATTAAGGAGGCAGAGCACACTTCCACCTGGGCTTGACCAGGGGGACAGGGAACTCAGCCCCACCCCTTACCCACCTGAGCACTTCCTCCTCCACAGCACAGCTGCAGTGACCACAGCTACAAGGAGACCCAGGGCAGCAGTGATGCCCACGATGATGATGGTGGTCTGAGGAGGGGGCTCTGTGAGAGGAGGGTGAGAAGTGAACCTCAGGCCTGAGTCCTGACCCTGCTCAGGGACACCCTGAGGAGAGGCTCTGTCCCTTCCTCACCCCATCTCAGGATCAGGGGCTCGAGTAGCCCTGGGTGCTGCACATGGCACATGTATTTCTGCTCCTCTCCAGGGGGCACAACCACGGCTGCCCACTTCTGGAAGGTCCCGTCCCCTGCAGGCCTGGTCTCCACCAGCTCCACATCCTGGGTCAGATCCTCCCCTTCACGCCACCAGGTCAGGGTGATGTCGTCAGCAGGGTAGAAGCCCAGGGCCCAGCACCTCAGGGTGACCTCATGGTCAGAGAGGGGGTGGTGGGTCAGGTGTGTCTCTGGAGGGCCTGAGGGGATAGTGAGAAAATTCAGGAACTGTGCATGGTCATGGGACACTCCAGCAGTGCTCATGTGACCACCCTGAGAGTGGGCAGGACAGCGGGGTGGGGGAAGGGAGAGCACTGCTCAGACACCAGCAGGGACAGAGGCATTGGGGATAATCTCCTATTTCTTGGAAAGTTCCAGAAAAAAGGTGAGAATGTAGGGTAGGAGTGTCTCTAAGAGGAGACACAGACTCAGGTGGAGGCTGATGACTCAGAAAAGCAGGAGTCAGGCCTGCAGAGAAGGTCTCAGCCCCAGAACCAGGAGAGCGTCCTGGTGCACCAGGTGCTGCAGGGTGTGAGGGAACCGCTGTGGGCTGTTTCAGGGAGGGGATGGGCCCCTTATGGTTCTTTAGAGCGGCGATCCCCAACCAAGGAGCTACAAACTGGTACTAGTGGGTGGCCTGTTAGGAACTGGGCAGCACAGGAGGAAGCGAGTAGCTGAGCTCTGTCTCCTGTCTACCAGTAGACCCCTCCCTTTGGTCCGTGGAAAACTTGTCTTCCTGGAAACCTGTTTCTGGTGCCAAAAGTTTGGGGACCATTGCTTTAGAGAAAACTGTGCCTGCGGGTGAGTCACAGAATAAGAAATCCTGGGGCACTCTTTACTCTCCCGTGCAGGAGGGGGATTCTGACACTGCCCCATTTTCCTCTTCTCCTTGTAGGAAGCCGCCCCAGCCCACAGATGCCCTCCTCGGGGAGGCCAGCGCCCTGCTACCTGCTCTGAGCAGCGACTCCTTCCCCTTCTCCAGGAGCTGGGTAAGCCAGTGCACGCAGAGTCTCTCCAGAAATAACCTCTTCTCTTCCGCATCAGGGAGATCCACCAACTTGCGCCAGGTTTTCGGGGCCGCCGTGTTGACCACGGTCCAGGAGCGCAGGTCCTCGTTCAGGGCGAAGTAGTCGGTGCCGTCGTAGGCGAACCGACTGTACCCGCGGAGGAAGCGTCCATCAGATCCCACGAAGCAGCCGCTCATTTCCTGCCAAGTGTGGGACACTGACCCCGCCCCAGGGTCAGCCCTGCCCACTTAGCCCGGTCCCACCTCCAGTTGTCAGGAGCTGACCCGCATGATTAAACCGAAAGTGAAAATCAAACGGGATCAAATCCCCGGGGCTCCACCCAGGATGGGAGCAGGTGGGTTCTGCAGCCTGGAGCTGACTCACGGACCCAGAGACTCAGGGGGACAGCAGCCGGTCAGTGGGGGGTGGGGGCGGGGGTGGGGTCGTGACCGGCCGCGGGCTGGCATGGCTCACCGTCCTCGCTCTGGTTGTAGTGGGCGCGCAGCTTGTTCAGGTTCCCTTCGTTAATCTGTGCCTCGCGCTGGCAAAAACGTGTCCCCTCGTCCCAGTAGTCCGGTACGTCCAGCACCCACGGCTGCTCCAGCCAGGGCACCCGCGGCTCCATGCGCGCGTTCGGGGTGTGGCTGTCGAAGCGTGCGACCTCTGTGTTGTCCACGTAGCCAGCGCTGATGTACCGGTACTTCGCAGGGCCGGGTCCTTGCATCGCGGTGCTGAAAATTTTCAGGGTGTGCGTACCTGGGGGCAGCGAGGATGCGTGTCCTGGTGTCTGCGGTGGTGCCGGAAAGGGCAGGGGTCCCCAGGGATGGATAAGGGGGCGGTGGTCCACAGGAGAGTCAGGGCCGAGGAGGGACTCTGGGGTCTGGGTTCAGGGCTGAGGGTGCTGGAGACTCGCTGTCCCAGCGTCCTGGGACCCCCGCCGGGTCCCCCTCCCTCCCGACCCCCGCACTCACCAGCCCAGGTCTCGTTCAGCGCCAGGGCCCCCGAGAGCAGCAGGAGCAGCGCTCGGGGCCCCAAGATCTGAACCCTGAGCATCTGGGGAGAATGGGTTCTGGTGCCTCACGTGGGTTGATACCCGGAACCGTGGTGACGCTGATTGGCTTCAGTGGAATTCTACACCCAATGGGAGTGAGAACCCGGGTAGCGTCATGAGTATCCAGGCAGAGGGAAGAGGGAAACCCCCAGGGAGAAGGGAACTCCCTTTCACAGCGTCCTCGCTCCAAATATGGCCCGAGGCTGAGACCTGGAAACCGACTTTGCCCCAAACCCTCCTCCTGCAGGGAGAACTCTCTGTCACATGGTCTCCCTGAGTCCCGGCCCAGGGGCTGTTTTATTCAGGGACTCTCAGACATTTTGTATCAGAACATCTATACAGTCTCACAAATAATAGGGAGAATCCCAAATAATTTTGTTTGTGTGGGTTATAGCTATCAATATTTATCATACAAGGAATAAAACAGTTAGAAATTTTTTAAAAAATCAGTTAGACTAATATTAATAATCTATGACATGTTAAGAGAAATAAAGTTTTTATTAAAATAATATTTTCCCAAATTAACAAGGCAGTGAGAAGAGTAGATCTGCTCACATTTTACATTTTTGCAAGTCTCAGTTCTTGTCTGTATCATTAGAAGTCCACTGGATTTTCATATTTGCTTCTGCATTTAAGTTTTGTTGTTGCAGTATATGAAAATATACACAGCCTCACACCAATACGTAGGAGGAACATTCTTAAAGCTGTGTTAGATAAGTGTGGATATTCATCTTGGATGGTTCACTAAAGCCACATAAGTGGTAGTTTCTGAAAAGCTCTTTGCAAAGTGGAACCTGAAACACCATCTTTGAGTATTTCCTATTCTGTTACATTACTTCAGTGGTTCTTGTACTGATGCAGGGTTATTTGAAAGTAATGCCTTGTTTCACTAAGTGATAGAGATCTCCCAGGGTGGGTGCATTTAATGACACACCATGAAAAATCAAATTTGTTAATGTTACTGCAGATCCCTGTGGAAACGGTTGTCAGCTCTGGGAAGTTGTCTGGCTGCTGTGGGGAGACACACATTTGTCAGAATCCTGGTTTTCCACTGAGAGCTTCCATTCCATCCAGACAACAAGTGCTGTCAGGGGTCAACTGCCTGTTGACTCTACTTGAGGGAGAAGTTCCCGTTCATTTGAGAGAGTGTTCGCCAGTTCACCACACTTCAGTCATCACAGGTTCTGTGTCTCTCTCACTCTCTTAAGTGAACTTGCTGTTCCATGAAGAAGAGGCTGGCTCAGCCCTCACAGGTCACTTTCCTGGGCTCATGACACTTGGGAATGAATGTAGCAGAAGTGTGTTTGTGCACTTTCCCGGTCATCATAGGAGTTATTTTACATTTTTATTCTCCATTTTCATTAAGGAGAGTTAAGAAATTAATTCATTTGTAAATGAATTCAAGATATATTTATCTTTTTAAAAATATTTTTTATTTTTCAATTATAGTTCATCTACATTATTATATTAGTTTCTGGTGTGTAACTCTGTGATTAGACCTGTATATGCTTACAAAGTGATCCCCCCATAAATCCAGTACCCAGCTGACACCATATGTAGTTATTACAATATTATTGACTGTATTCCCTGTGCTGCACTTTACATCCCCATGACTGTTCTGTAACCACCAATGTGTGCTTCTTAATCCTTTCTCTTTTCTCACCCAGCCCCCCCAAACTCCCACTCTATCTTGCACCTGTCAGTCTGTTTTCTGAATGTATGAGTTTGTTTCTGTTCTGCTTGAATACTTTGTTCTTTAGATTCTGCATGTAAGTGCAGTCACCTGGTATTTGTCCTTCTCTGTCTGATGTATTTCACTCAGCACCATACCCTCCGCCATGTTGTTGCCAATGGAGAGATTTCATTCTTTGTGTGTGTGTGGCTGAGGCAGATTTTGTTGTGCATGTGCACCACTTCTTTATCTCACCATCTGTGGATGGACACTTAGGCTGCTTCCCTATCTGGCTTTTGTAAATAATGTTGCAGTGAACATATGAATGTGTCTTGTCTCTTTTATTTAGTATTTTGGGTTTCTTCAGATAAGTACCCAGAAGTGCAATGGCTGGGTCCTTCTTTCTCTCTTGTCATATAGCCTCTGTTCTAAAGTCTATTTTGTCTAGGATAAGTATTTTTACCACAGCTCTTTTTGTTTATTTGTTTCCATTTTCATGAAATATCTTTTTCATCTCTTTATGTTCAGTCAGTGTGTCTTTGGATCTGAACTGAGTCTCTTGTAGGCAGCATGTGTGAGGGTCTCGTTCTCTCATCTATTCAGCTACCACATGTGTTTTGATAGGAGCAATTAACTAATTTTCATTTCAAGTATATTTGATAGATATGCATTTATTGCCCTTTTAGTTTTCATATTTCTTTTTTCTTACCCTTTAACATTTCCTGTAATACCAATTAAGTGGTGATAAACTCCTTTAGCTTTTTCTTGTATGGAAAGCTCTTTATCTGAGTTCTGATTCTAAATGCTAGTTTTGCTGGGTGGAGTAATCTTGGCATGGATCCTTGCTTTTCATCACTTTGAATATTACTTGCCAAAAGAAATTTTAAAAATGAGACTTGCCAATCTCCTTTGGCCTGAAAAGTTCATCTGGAGAAATCAGCTGACAGTCTTATGGGAGATCTCTTACGGGTAACTAACTGCTTTTATCTTGATGCTTTTAAAATGCTCTCTTTTTTTTTAATCTTTGGTATTTTAATTATGATGTGTCTTGTGTGTGGGCCTCATCAGGTTTGGACTCTGCACTTTCTGGACTCTTATATCTACTACCTGCACCAGGTTAGGGACATCTTCCATAATTATTTTTTTAAAATAAAGTTTCAATTCCTTGCTCTCTCTTTTCTCTTTCTGGCATCCCCAAGATGCAAATGTTGGTACACTAGAAATCCCTGATGTTCCTTATACTATGCTCATTTTTTAGGACTCCTTTTACCCCTGCTGTTCTGATCAGTTGTTTTCTGCTTTTTTATCTTTCCGATCTCTGATCTGATCCTGTGCTTCATCTGCTCCACTGTGGACTCCCTGTAATGTATCTTCATTTCAGTTATTGTGTCCTGCATTTATGACTGTTTTCTTTATGCCTTATTTCTCCATTTTTGTGTTTCTTATACCTTTGTTGACATTCACACTATGTTCTTCTTCTTGTCTCCTTAGCTCATTGAGCATTTTTATAATGTGTTATGAACTCTGCATCTATTAGATTGCTTGTCTACATTTTGTTTACTTCTTTTTCTGAAGTCTTGTTCTGTCCTTTCACTTTGGTGTCTCCTCATTTTGGCAGTCTTCCTGTGATTGTTTCTATGTGTTAGGTAGAGCTGCTGTCTCCTGTCCTGGTAGAGTGTCCCTGTGTAGTGGGTGTCGTGTAGGGCCCAGTGGTGCGGTTTCCCTGAAGTCCCAACCTGGGCACTCCTGTGTGCCCCCTTGTGGGCCATGTGCACTTTGCTGTGGTAGTTGTGTCAGGATTGCTGTTGGTAATGGAAGGCATTTATCCCCAGGCTGATCAGCTCTGAGTTCTGGCTGCAGCCACTGTGGAGGCTCTGGTGCCTGCTGAGTCTGCCCCATGAGTGGGTTGCTGTGGAGGTGGTGGGGTGGTGCTTTGTTGTGGTCAGAAGCTGTCCACAGGTGTGCTGGCTGTGGGGCCTCTTGGGAGGTGCAGGCCAATTTCAGCCACCACCTGTGTCCTATGCAGAACCACCTGGCATGAGCTACAAATCAATCTACACATGGCTACTTCTTGTGCTGGGCTTGGAGGTACCTGGGAGAGGCCAAGCTGTGAACCAAGGCCAACTTCCCCTAGTCCTGGGCCTGAAGCCACTTAGCAGTAGAAATGGAGTGTGCCTCCAGTTCTTGTTTCAGATATTTTAGGAAAGTCCACAGCTTGAGTCAAGAGAGGTTGTTTGCATGGAAAGTCTCTGGAAAGAGCTTGAGTGGGCCTGCAAGGTGGGTGAGGCTGGGCTTCAGGGAATCACAAGGGCAGGGTGGACAGTGTGAGCCAGGGGGATGGAGACAGAGACACAGTGCACACCTGGCAGTTCTGTTGGGGGAGGGCTCATCAAAGGAACAATGGCCTCTGTCAGCCCTTCTGTCTGAGAGAAAGCAGCCCCCCTCCCAGCTCTTGCCCTGATGCCAGACAATTCAATTTCTCTCTATATGTTCCTCATGCCTTTTGAGTTGCTGTCCCAGGGCTGGAGCTCAGAAGAGTGTGTCTGAGTAAGTCCATGCACTGACACTTTAAAAGGAATGCCTGGGACTCTGGAAGCACTTTGCATCACTAGCCTTGGTCCCTGCTAGTTTCTATAACCCAAGTTGTGGAGACCTGTCTTCCTGGTGCTGAAACCATGGTCTGGGGGTCTTAGTGTCAGGCTGGGACACCTTCTTCCTAGGGCAGAACCCCCACAGCTGACATATCTCTCTAAATTTTTATCTATCACACATGGTCGTGGGACCAGTCTGTTCAGCATCTCCACCCCTCCTACCAGTCTCAGTGAGGCTTCTTTCACTTTGTAGTTGTAGGACTTCCGTTTAGCTAGATTTTAAGCGGTTCTGAATGATGGGTGTTTGTAGTGTAGTTGTAATTTTGATGAGGTCATGATGCGAAGACATTACTGAATTTACCTACACAAACATCGTGCCTGGAAGCAAAGATATTTTTTAAATGTTGATTTGAATATGCTGATTTAGTAACAACACTAGTTTTCAATCCTTTAAACATGCTGTCAAAGTGGCACTGGTTTTGTTTTCTAGTCTGTGAGGGAGTCGTGGTGAAGAATGCCTCTGTAGCAGTTGGGTGTCCCAGCCTCCGTTCTTGCTGAGTTTACCTCCATGCAAATGTGGGCACAGTGAAAAGGCAAAGGATGTCCTTAACCTAAGAAAATAGTTTTGCCCTCGTAGATCCAGTGAAAGGCTCTTATAAACTTCAAAGGTTCCGCAGGCCACACTTTGGGAATGGTTGTTCTGGATAAACCAGGGGGAGGCTCCCCACTGGCCCAATCCTTTGCCCCCTCCACACTTCCTAGAACCCCTCTCCCTGAGGTGG